ACGCTTTCTAAAAGGAAACAGAAAACTTTAAAATTAACTATTATATATCATCTTGTAGAGAAATGTTTTCTCTACAAAACTGCCGTTTTAGAAAAATGTTGAAAATCGTTTTTATGAAAATACAAAACATTTATTGTGAATTTTTGAAAAATACAAAAAAATAACCGATGCACTCCTAGTCGTGTCCGATAATAGATAGATAGATGTTGACGCTTTTTTCTCTAAGATAATTTCAAAGTATTGTTATGTTTGTTTCTTCGTGACCACAGCTTCGACTTTTGTCTTTTTAAAATCCGTTCTTCAATGTTTTCCCGATTGCTGTGAGCATTGTGGGTATTTAATTCATCTTCATCGTCGCTGAATCAGGTTCAAAGTGTTATTGTTTCCGTTCACAATCCTTTGGCAGAACGTTCAGATATACATGATAGAGTATTAAGCTACAAAAACGAACAGATTACAGCAAAGGAGCGTTATGTTGAACTAGAGTAGTAGAAAAAAGAATTTGTTATTATATGCAAGTACATATAATGCTTTATTCCTTTTATTGTTTGTCAACGTGTACTCGGCCATCCGTGTATCCAGTATACACTGCACCAGAAATAAAAAACGTATGATGTATTAAAATGAGATGTTTGCTTCTGCTTCTTCGTATAACTGATATTACTACCCAGAAACGAGATTAAAAGCTTAACTCCTAAAAAAACGAATGACATTCTAGAATAAATGTATTCTTGAATGGTGACATTTGTCTTGTATTGTTTTCTCCATCCTGGAATTAATCACCGAAACAAAAGTTTCTCGAAGAAAATAAAGAAATTTAAAATATTATTGGTATCATAATCATATGTAGAACACTTGAAAGATAATTTTATCTACTTCAAAAATTCACTGAACTCGATGTTTGAATGAAGTTTTAAATTTTGGGTCCTTTAGGTTTTCAATCTGAAACGATGTGCCTCCGCAAAGAGATAAGCTTTTTTAAAAAAACATTGGAGTCAGCTCAAAATACTGAAAAGGGTTTATCAATATCTGAACGTTAGAATATTGAATGTGTTTCTATAAAATAAAAGGCATTTCGAGTATATGCAGTTAGGCAATGTGAGTGCATATATTCATACACACATTGTCTTCGATATGTTAATCAATATTCATTTGTGTTTCCTACACTTTTACCCTTATATAGATAGAATTCTGCTTTTTTCCTTTGGATTCTCCATTGAATAACACAAATAGACATCATCCGAATCAAATTACGCGTGCACTAGCATACTGCAACAAGTTCTTTCTTCTCTTTCTTCGGTTACATCTCCACTACCCTGTTTCACTATGTTTATCCGCTGTTCTCATAGTCAAATACTTTTTCTGTATCGATTATTTATTTATTGCATAAGATTATGTAAACGTCCAATCGATGACTTTTATTTAGCTTAAAATATAGATATGTATGTATGTGACTAATACAGCCGATCGCTTCTTCTAGCACTTGTATACACAAAGAGAGATGAAACATAGGATCGTTGTTCCCGCTACGAGTATTTATGACTGAATTTATTATCATGCTCTGTTGTGGAACAGAAGAAACAGGTTGGCAAAAGGTAACCGAGAGTACATACTTTTTCTCTCGCACCAAAACGAGTCATTCTGTAGGAAAGAGATGTATATCAAGACTACGTTGTGACTCACATCTTCACGCTTAACTGCTTTTCACGAGTACAGTGATGTATGTTTTACTATATTTATTTTAGACATACAGTTTAACGAATTCCTACTGAAAAGATGATCTGTTTTAAAGTACGCGTCTCGCAGATCCTTACTTAACTCAATTTTACAGCTCATTTTCGTTTAGGTTCTTGTTATGCTTTCACTGATGAGCAATATTGCTCCGACGAGTATTTGTGATATTGGAGGTTGCATATGTATACCAAATCGATATACTGCAGAAACAATTTACTGTAAAGGAGCAGAACTGACTACTCTAGTTGATTTAGAATTTCCAGCAACCGTTCAGACGTTGTCGTTAACGGATAGTAGTTTGACATTTGATACAGGTAAGCTATAATTCATTTTTCTCGGAATATATTGAGTTCTTTTATAGTTGCTGATATTCAAAAAATACAAAACATGACAAATTTAAAGTTTTTAACATTAAGTAATAATCCGTTAACGAAAATTCCGTTGTTTAATCATACAAACATTCAATCGCTCATAATAAACGAAGCTCAAATTAATTCAGTTCAATTTCCTGATACCTACTGTGGTTTATCATCATTGGACAAAATTTCACTAAGCAGTAATATTATTGAAACGATTAACGATGATGACTTTAAATCATTAAAAAATTCCAAGGTGACCGATTTAGAAATAAATAAGAATCGTTTATCAAAAATTAATCCTAATGCATTCATACCATTATCTACTTCACTTCAATCATTATCATTAAGTGGTAACAATCTAGTATCATGTGAATTTCTATCAATATTAGGACAATTAGCAACAATCAATTTAAATCAAAATCAATTTACATCATTACCAAGTCAATTATTTGCACCTCATAATATAAAAAGTTATTCGTTTATCGAAAATTTAATAGAAACAATTGATGAAACATCACCATTAAATGCATGGGCAAAACAGAATTTGTCTAATACTAAAATTTATCTTAACGGAAATCCTTTTGATTGTTGTCAATCTTTATGGTTTATTCGCTATTTAAAACGTGATAATAAACAATATGTTGTTGATGCTGAAGAATTAAATTGTAATGCGCCCAGGCAATATGCCGGAAAACGGTTATTAGATTTAAATCCTGATTTGATGACAGATTGTACCACTGGTTCAAAATTATCAATTGCTAACATCATATTCATCGTACTTGGATCCCTTTTACTCATTATTGTTATTATTGTCATTATTATTGTCATCATTAGTCAAATAAGAAAACGTCAACGAAAAAACCTAGTTCACTACGAAACATTGCCAGCTGCTGTCGAGCATGGAGAACGACAATCGTCACGACGCCCGTCTAAAACATTGCTTGGTCCAGATGCTTCACTCAATAATCCTCGTTCGTTAACAACACAAACGAATTACGGAACCGTTAATGCAAATCCAGAGTATTCAAGTGAACAACATACATCTGATATGGAAAGAAATCTCAATTTAGATGAATAGATTTATCCTGCGTACATTTATTGTTCTGCAATCTATAAACACTCTATAGCCCGTATTTTCTATAAGTTTGTTTATTTTTATATTCATTTTATAATTGTAAATAAAATTTCGAATTTGTCATAAATATTTTTTTTCGTTTATGTGTTTTGGAGTAAAATGATAAAAATTGAATACATAGTTAATCTAAGAGTTATTGTTACTGCGGCATATGAAGTATGCGAATTATTGTGCAGCGATAATTTCAGGAGTAAGGTAAGTAGCAATAAGGCAAAATATTACCAAAAGAACACATTATTTTTCTCAGATCCACCGTGTTGGCGACGTCCACAAAACATAAAAACGTGATTGCTATTAGAGCATAAGGATCTAAGGGTTGAATCTGATACAGATTAGATAATCGATCAGGGCGAATCAGGAAATGCTCATTAACGACGTGTCGCATCGATCCTATTGCTTATTGTTTCAAAATTATAAGAAACTTATGGTATATAATAAAACATTAAAAAAAAAAGCTTGTACTGCCATCTAAATGAAAACCAAAGTCAATTCTTTGTCAAAAATGGACATTCGGCAAGGATCAGTGAGTCCCAGATACTGCAAGAAGTTTTTTCTTCCCTTCCTTCGGTTACATCTCCACTACCCTGTTTCACTATGTTTATACGCTGTTCTTATAGTGAAATACTTTTTCTGTATCGATTATTTATTTATTGCATAAGATTATGTAAATGTCCAATCGATGATTTTTATTTAGCTTAAAATATAAATATGTATGTATGTGAGTAATACAGCCGATCGCTTCTTCTAACACTTGTATACACAAAGAGATATGAAACATAGGATCGTTGTTCCCGCTACGAGTATTTATGACTGAATTGATTATCATGTTCTGCTGTGGATGTCAAAAAGTTACTAAGAGTACATACTTTTTCTCTCGCACCAAAACGAGTCATTCTGTAGAAAAGAGATGTATATCAAGACTACGTTGTGACTCACATCTTCACGCTTAACTGCTTTTCACGAGTACAGTGATGTATGTTTTACTATATTTATTTTAGACATACAGTTTAACGAATTCCTACTGAAAAGATGATCTGTTTTAAAGTACGCGTCTCGCAGATCCTTACTTAATTGAATTTTACAGCTCATTTTCGTTTAGGTTCTTTTTATACTTTCACTGATGAGCAATATTGCTCGAATGAGTCTTTCTCAGGTCCATGATTACAATCGTCGTAAATAGTGTTAAACTACAGTAAACGATGGTGAATACCCATTGGAATTTTTAAATAATTTTAAATTTACACAGACTAATTTCTGACCCAAAAAAAGACGAAAAATGACTTTACATCAGTTTTAAATAGCCAGATTAATTTAAATTCGTTTGTAGTAAATTAAAATTTACATCAATTTCGCAGTTAAAATCAACTAGAATTAATTTTCAGGCTAAATTTAACTCCAATTAGTTTAAAAAAAAACATTAATTTAAATTAGTTTTAACTAAACTGGTTTAAATTAATTTATTTCGCACTCATACGAAATAATTTCGTTCTTTAAAATACTTCAAATTGATTTCTACACTCAAATTCATTTAATAAATGTTTTTGTAATAGATTTCGAATAATTTTGATAATATAAATTAGTTTTAATTAGTTTTGAGAATCGAAATTAATGTGGATACGTTTAAACTAATTTATTTTACGGCAATTTCAACGCTCAAAATTAATTTGAATTAATTTAAAAAATAACACTATCTCGGATTCATTTGAAATAAATTAATTTAAACTAATTTCCACTATCAAATTTATTTAAATTCAATACCTTTATCAGCCAAATGTGTATATTCGATCGAGAAAGAAGTGACCGGAGGTATTTTTTGCATCACGAGTTTTTCGTCCAGATCCGCAAGAATAAGGTAAAATAAACTCAGCTTTTATTTTCCAGTACTACTTAAAAAAATTCAAGTCAAAAAAACTCAAGTACTTTCGACTAGTGTTGGAAAGCGAAGAAAAATATGGCTGTTCGACCAATAACTACAGCCTCCTGGAGTTATTTGCTTTGAGTTATTCATCAAAAAGAATTATAGCTAATAAATAATGAGACAGTCATTTTTCGTTGAATTGAAAGAATGGATATTCTTGCTTTTTCAGCTGAAGGCTTCGTTTGGACGGCTACCAGGAACAACCTCTGTTGGACATAGAATAAACGAATATTTCGTTTCGAACATAAAACCCTTTTTCGAGAAATAGAATTGGTATTCCTTGAAGTTTGAAGACTTAATTGATCAGTACAATAAGTGAGTGATCAGTAAGATACTTAAACGGTCAGTTATTAAGGGCCCCCCTCGATTTTCGGTCAAAAAATCGGTTTGAGATACGCACATGAAAAGATAGCCTGAAGTGTCTACTTCCAGAATCTGTATTGCTTTTGGTTACAAAACTGGTTTTTCGGGGGTTTTCAGCAAGTTTTCTAGGAGCCTCGAAAAACCGGGTCTTCGAATAATGATTTTTTCCTGGATACTTATGCAATTAAAATTTTTCTGAACACACAGCTTTATAGAGCAAACGTTTCTGATAAAAATAAGACCTCGCACAACTCTGTTTGACCTTGCACCAAAAAGTTACAGGCATTTAAAAGTCCCAAAATTGAGTATTTCATACAGCGTTTTCTCTATATAAGAGTTACACCTGAAGTGCGTCCCAAAACTTTTAATAGGGGTTTGTCGTAGAGAGTTCGTTCTTTTTTTGTTTAAAAGAGGAAAAGAAACTACATCAACTAACCGGCGTCGATTTTTGAATTAGGTCTTAGTTTTTTGTCAAATTGAGGATTTTTCGGGTTTCGGAGATAATTGTCAGAGATAATTTCTGAGGGGGGACCCTTAACCCTTTGGTGTCGGGTGTTTTTTGAAAAAATAAAGTTTTTTATATGAGTAAAATATATGTTTATTGAATTAAAAATCATTATCAAAAGTGTTTTAGGGTATGATAAGCTTTGAAACAATCAATTATGCATAACCCAACATCGCATTCCTCGCACTGATATCTTATATATTTGGTTAATCTTTCACATCTTGTTGTATGAGAGCATACAGGACATTTCCTTTGGGCAGCTTTTTTTGAAGCAATTCAGGGTACAAGTGATGGAAAATATCTCGCAGATAAACATAGTTCATTTTCGAACGAATTCAGTCGATGATCTCCCAATAAAAAGTCAAATAAGGCAGTCACATATCTGCTCTTAGAGTTAAGAGTAAGATAGGCTAGTGATGAGTAAGGTAACTACTGATGTACGTGAAGAAAGCATTCATACTCCGAGTCAAGGAAGGTGAGATCAGTATGAGCTTGACACTCAACGCCAGTTCATTGAATGTTCTTGGCATTGATGTAGGAGAACTGTGGCATAGTCAGATGCACGCAGCGCGCCCATAAGACGCCTTCTACATCCCATAACACACAAAACGGCAGTGGATGTGTTACGCCGAGATTACTCATTAATATTATCAGCCTTACTGGTAAATTTCTCACTTTGATGCATTATTGTTCTGGAACCGTTCTCAGCTAACACGTTCAATTCAGCCGATGCACGGATAAAATTACTTAGATCTAGCGCATCTAACTGAGAGAAAGTCTTTTATATTGTGAAAGTAGCTTTAAACGAGAATCGGATGGTTTAATCTCACCAAAATATAAACGGGGTTCAACATTTCTCAGTTTTGTTTAGAAATAGCTGTCTACATATCTACGTGTGATTTATTAGATTAACTAATAAATTGGGAATAAGTAAAGACTACATTAAAAAAAGTACTTAAAGCTCTTCACTTTTGTTTGTATGTATAGGGCTTTGTTGCTAGTAGATACACCTCTTAGGTGCTGACTAAAAAAGGCGCTTTACTCTAGCAAAAAGGAATGAAATGTTCTGATCGGAAGTTTACGCGTTAAAAGAAAAACACCGTTGCGGTGCAGATACATATTAGTTTCGAGCACAGTTCACTAGACGATGATATCGAAGTTTTTTCCCCTTTTTCGTGAGTGGTGGCTTATGACAGACCGTAAAGCTCAAGTACATAACGTTAAATTATTTAAGGCTGAACAATGTGAAGATTTACATAAAGCAACGATATGTTTGCCGTGTTCTGGCCGGGATCGATCAATAATTACACAGACTGAACTTACTGCTGTTGAGTCATAAGAGGATTTGATCAGCAAATATGAAACGGGAATACAACCGATATTACCGTTTTCGTAACCGTTTAGGTTTAAGTAGCTACTATCAGGAAAATAACGTATTCCCGAAAGCACTTCAGTTTGATATTCCCCGTCAATCATTCGGTTCTCAGGATAAGAGACTTCGTAACAAACGGAGAATATCGTTCGTGAGATGAAATTAAAGTAACTACAATGTGAGCTTAAGATATATCACAAACGATACACTCAGCAGAAGCAACATACATGACTATACGTAGTAAATTGTCTGTAGTAAAGAAAGAGACTGAGTTGATTGATGTGGAACGTGAAAAGGGATTGAAACCGAAAGAGACAATAGAAAAGTCATGGAATAAAGTTTTCCGGACGGAGATTCGTGAGACTATCACAAAGAAATGATTAGGAGATACGACATCTGGTTCTACGTTCGATTCAAGTAGTTCGGCTACTCCCGTGCTGGGTGACGCACAGACACATACATTACATATCAAGGATTGAGTAATAATGAGACCCCACAGTATGAATTTAAGTAATTTAAATAGTGTATTAACTCCTCATTCGGGACGCCGCAATAATACCTGGCGTAATAATTCGAATAGAAATTTGTTGAATAACAAATTTAATCATGCACACAACCATATAGCTAATCTAAATAAGATTAATTAATTTTAACGAGGGATATAATGCAAATAGTAACTATAATAATAATAATTTAAATCGTTCAGATAATGTAAATAATATTAATTCTTCCAATCGCCATGTAACATGTGATACAGTTATCACTCCAAATAGGAGTTGTGATGT